AGTTTTATCAACATTTCCAACAATTTTTTGGAATATAACATAAAAAACGTATTTTAACAATGAATTAGACATTTTGATAGATTTTCAACAAAATTAATCAATGAAAAGTCATTAGTTTTTTGTATCTACATATTAATAACAAAAGTTTGAACAAATATTTCAAAAATTCTATAGTTTAATCTACATTTCCAACAATTTTTGTAGAAATATTTAAAAAAAAACATTATGAATTTGCACTAAAATCAATATTAAGAACAAAACATTTGAAATTTCAACAATGAATTAGACATTTTGATAGATTTTATTGAAACTGACTCAGAATTTCAGTGATTTTCAACAAAATTAATCAATGAAAACTAATTAGTTTTTTGTATCTACATATTAATAGCAAAAGTTTGAACAAATATTTCAAAAATTCTATGGTTTAATCAACATTTCCAACAATTTTTGTAGAAATATTAAAAAAAAAACATTATAAATTTGCACTAAAATCAATATTACGAACAAAACTATGCAACTATGAACAAATATTTCAAAAATTCTATAGTTTAATCAACATTTCCAACAATTTTTTTAGAAATATTAAAAAAAATACATTATGAATTTGCATGCACTAAAATCAATATTACGAACAAAACATTTGATATTTCAACAATGAATTAGATAGATTTTATTGATTAATCAATGAAATTGATTATTTTATCTACGTATGAACAAATATTTAAAAAAATTACAATTTCTTGCAGAAATTTAAAGTTTTCATTACAATTTTATATAAAAAATCAATGGAAATACCACAAATAATTGATTGATTATAAACCTGTTTCACGAAAACAATCGTCGCTGATTGTTGTTCTCTCGAAATACGTGCGCACTTTGTTTCTTCGACTGTGAACCAACGTGTGTATATGCGCGTAACTGCGCATAAATCTGTGATAATTTTACTTTCACATTGAAGGTGTGTCTTTTTTTTTATTACTTTTTCACATTTAATTATTATTTTTTTTTTACTAATACTTATAGTACATAAATAATATGTGTATGTATAGTTTTAATTGATCAAAACGAAAAAAAAAAAAATCTTAATTTTGTTGTTTTGTGTAATTTTACTGCAAGTGTCGTTATTATTTTTCTATTTGAAATTTTAAATTTGTTACCTATTATATTTTTGTTATACTATATATATATTATACGATGATGTACATATTCTATAAATATGTATGTGATGTTGTACAAAGCGCAAAAAAAAAAAACATTCAACAAAACATTTCTCCCCGAAGTTGTGTAGCATTTTTTATGGAACGATGAAATTCCGATGAGTTGTAATTGTAATCTTTACGAAAAAAAAAAAAATAATTATGTAATGAATATTATTGGGAGGCCATGGTTAATCGAAAAACAAAATCCGAACGCTTCTATTGGTCCATGCTCTGCCGTAGTAGTTATCCTAGTACATAAGACTTCGTGTTAAATATAAATATATTTACAAAAGCAAACATAAGTTGTTGTTTTTTTTTCTTCCTACTTCATTTTTATTGTTCATCGTTGAATAAATACTACAAAAATTTGATTTTCAAACTAAATATTTAAGGTTTTCATGTGTTTAAGAAGGAAATGTCATAGAGTGAAGATATTTTTTGTTTCTTTGTTCATTTATTTTGTTTGGTAACCAATTAATCCTTTTCGTGCGTCAGCTTCGTTGCTACGATACGTTCTGCTGCTGTTGAAGGTTACCATGGAAATCAAAAGCTGGTGACGTCTGTGGCGCGGCCCAGCTTCTCTTTCAGGTACAGATAGAACACGAACACGAGTGTAGTCATCTGTCCAGGGAAGAAATCCAATTATAAGAATATTTCATTGAGATCATCAACCGAATCTTGTTATGTCTTCTTTGATCATAAACAAAAAGATGTTTGTTTGCAGTCAACTGTTTTAATAGCATGATTTTTTGGATAAATATCAGATGTAAATGATCTTAACTCGTATTTTTGCATAATTATTAATGTACTAATTAGCATTGAAAGCTAATTTGAAACAACAAAAAAAAACAAAGAACTTGTCAAAACATTGAATAAGCATTTGTTTTTTTAATGAAAACAAGTGATGATTTGTTTTGGATCATCAAAAATATTAATATGCAAACAATTGAATTGAAGCTTTTGTTTTATAATTGTGGAAAACAAGTGGCTCCACTTCGGAATTGTTGATAATTGCAACGCCTACGTGTATCATGTCATGTTTGTGAAGAAATATTGAAAATTGAAGAAAAATGTTTCAAACATTTTACAAAACTTACGAATATTATGAAGTTGATGATGAAATTATAGAAAAGTTGTATAAAATTGGAAGAAATGTTGTAGAAAAGTTGTACATGGTTGACGAAAAGTTATTCCATTGTTGTTCAATATTTAATCAGAGTTGAACAGAATTGAAAAAAAGTAGTTCAAAATTCAAGTAAATCAAAATTTGTTCAATGTTATTCAAATTAATTTTACAGAAGAAGAAAAGTTGACCCAAATTAAAGAAAAGTTGATCATTGTTAGGAAATATTTAATTAAAGTTGATTGAAAAAAATAATAAAATTTAATTAAAGTTGATTGAAAAAAATAATAAAATTTAATTAATGTATTTCAAAATTGTATAAAAATTGTTAATAATATATTAAAATTTGTTCAAAATTATGCAAATTTGAAAATAAAATGTTCATAGATGAATAAAAGTTGACTCAAGTTAAAGAAAAGTTGGTCACAGTTAAAAAATATAGTTATTAAAAAAAAAATCAAAATTTAAGAAACGTATTTTAAAATTGAACCGAAATTCTTAATAATGAATCAAAATGTGTTCAAACTTCGACAAATTTGAAAAACAATACTCGCAGATGAAGAATAGAAGTTTATACAATTATAACAATATTTCATTGAGATCATCATTATGTCTTCTTTGATCATAAACAAAAAGATGTTTGTTTGCGATCAACTGTTTCAATTACTCGATTGTTTTGGATAAATATCAGATGTAAATGATCTTAACTCGTATTTTTGCATAATTATTAATCTACTAATTAGCATTAAAAGCTAATTTGAAACAACAAAAAAACAAAGAACTTGTCTAAACATTGAATAAGCATTTGTTTTTTTAATGGAAAACAAGTGATGATTTGTTTTGAATCATCAAAAATATTAATATGCAAACAATTGAATTGAAGCTTTTGTTTTATAACTGTGGAAAACAAGTGGCTCCACGTCGGAATTGTTGATAATTGCAACGCCTACGTGTATCATGTCATGTTTGTGAAGAAATGTTGAAAATTTGAAGAAAAATGTTTCAAACATTTTACAAAACTTACGAATATTATGAATTTGATGATGAAATTATAGGAAAGTTGTATAAAATTGGAAGAAATGTTGTAGAAAAGTTGTACATAGTTGACGAAAAGTTATTCCATTGTTGTTCGATATTTAATCAGAGTTGAACAGAATTGAAAAAAAGTAGTTCAAAATTCAAGTAAATCAAAATTTGTTCAATGTTATTCAAATTAATTTTTCAGAAGAAGAAAAGTTGACCCAAATTAAAGAAAAGTTGATAATTGTTAGGAAATATTTAGTTGCTTGAAAAAAAAAACAAAATTTAAGTTATGTGTTTCAAAATTGTTAATAATATATTAAAATTTGTTTAAAATTATGCAAATTTGAAAATAAAATGTTCATAGATGAATAAAAGTTGACTCAAGTTAAAGAAAAGTTGGTCACAGTTAAAAAATATAGTTATTAAAAAAAATCAAAATTTAAGAAACGTATTTTAAAATTGAACAAAAATTTGAAAAACAATACTCGCAGATGAAGAATAGAAGTTTATCCAATTATAACAATATTTCATTGAGATCATCATTATGTCTTCTTTGATCATAAACAAAAAGATGTTTGTTTGCGGTCAACTGTTTCAATTACTCGATTGTTTTGGATAAATATCAGATGTAAATGATCTTAACTCGTATTTTTGCATAATTATTAATCTACTAATTAGCATTGAAAGCTAATTTGAAACAACAAAAAAAAACAAAGAACTTGTCAAAACATTGATTAAGCATTTGTTTTTTTAATGGAAAACAAGTGATGATTTGTTTTGGATCATCAAAAATATTAATATGCAAACAATTGAATTGAAGCTTTTGTTTTATAACTGTGGAGAACAAGTGGCTCCACGTCGGAATTGTTGATAATTGCAACGCCTACGTGTATCATGTATCATGCAAACGAAAAACAAATCCGATAATTATGCGATAAAGTTGTTTGTCGATCGTAATTAACAGTTATTTCTGTACATTTTTTTTTACCTGAATTCCCAAAGCGATCAAAGCGCATCCGCTCAAAAAGCACATGTGCCACGACATTTCGAAGGCGATACCGTCGAGACAGCCTCGCTCGAACATACCGTTCTGAAAAACAAACACAATTACAAATGAGAAACGTTAAAAACAAAACGGTACATGGGTTGTTTGATTATGGTAGCAGCTTTTCGGTGGTGACTTCCAGTCGCGGTAACCGGAGACTCCGCAGCACTGCAACCTGATTTGAACTCGATCCCAGGAGATTTTGTAGTTGTAATTGCTCTCGTACTCGTTCATTCCAGCTTTCAGCGTATCGATGAGGAGCGATTTGTAATGGCTGGGGAGGAGAGTCGGAGGATCCGTGCAGTTCGAGAAGGACATCTTCGTGCGTTGGATGATGGTGATTGAACTACCGACGGCGAGGAGCGTCATCGAAATCGATAACAACACGATCAGCTAAGCAGTGCAATAATCAATATGATGATTGTGTTTAAGTTTTAGGTATTCGATACCAAAGGGAGGAGTAGGTAATTCTTGCGATTGTCGTGCGTGGTGAAGGCAATCCAGAAGCAAGGAATCGCCAACAATCCGCCGCAGAGGTTGAAGTTGTTCGGATCGGTGACGAGAGACTGATTCAGGATGGAGATGTACGAGAGTTTTGAGAACATCGTCCATAGACAAGCCGAGACCAAAAACGTGCCACTACACTGCAATTAATCAAGTTTTTTTCCACTAAAATCTTAGTTTAACTTGATACCAGCAAAAGAACAGCAAGAAGACATAAGTAGAAACCGCTGGGCTCGATTTGTCTTCCAGTCTCGTATCGCGATACAAAGATCCTTCGTGCTGAAATTTTTCTCCATGGAAAAATCGTAGATGATAGAGATTCGGCGGAATTTTCACGCTTCGACTCTTCCACCTAACAATACTAATCATAACAAAAACAACATTAATTTTTAGTTTCAAACCTTCAAATCTCTTTCCACCTCAGCATTTTCCGATGACATCATTTTTATGCATTCCCACTGTGTCAATATGACATCACCTACTTTGATTTAATCGTCATAGAAACAATATACTTCAATAATTAATTACTAACATCAACATTAAGATTTGAGCTGATCATTTCGAAAGAGTGACCTAAGTTTGCGATTCAATAAAATTCAAAATATACGTATTAAGTATATCTTAGAGAGTTAAGTTTACAATTCCTATGAGAATAATAGCAATTATTAAGTGAATAATATGTGTTTTCTTGCAACAAATTATTGATCTGAGTATGAAAATGTATTTCTTTATACATTTTAATAGAAAATTATTTAGGCGGAAAGACCCCGGTCGTTAGCCCTTTGGCCAGCCTATTGATTTATTTATTTATATGTAAAGAATGTACTTTTTTTTCATTATGTATTAATGTTTATTAATTAATTATTATTATTAATTAGAAAATTATCAAAAATTGTGTAAATGTAAAAATTTCAATAACAAAATTTTTACAATTATAAACAAATAAAATCTTCAAATTAAGTTTTACATTTCAACTTTAGCAGAAAATAAATATGCAAAGTATTTTCATTTTATTATTGTGTTTTATTTTATTATTTTTTTTTCAAATTATTGTAACAAAATATAAAATTTACATGTAACATTAGCGTCTTACGGAACGAGAAAAAATGGTTAAGATTAATAATTTAAGTAACATTTTGTACACAGCATCGAAAAAAAAACTATACAGAAGAAGTCTGAAATATTACTGAAGAACTATTTATTCCAGTATCTTGAAGAGTGCGCAAGAGAAGATCATTCCGAGCAACTGAAACAAATGAAAAAAAATATAACTTTAGTATTTGAAAACTTCGTTATTGCAGGTTTGAGTTGAGTCATCCATGATATCGATATCTTTTGTTTTGCTGTGCAGTAATTAGCAGCCATTTTGAACAAAACAAAACAAAAGGTGGCTGTTATTATTATCGCTCTATTCTTTTGTCTTTTTGTTTCGTTACTTACCATTAAGCAGGCTACTACAATTCCAGCGCCACCGATGATTGCCGCATGATCTTTAACGTAGTCAATGGTAACGTTGTAGCAACCCCTCTGGAAGAGCGTGAACGAGTTCTGATGCTCGACGAGGAGATTGCATCTCTGCCGTTTGCCGGGAACCGGCTCCCTGCAGCAGGAATCCGGGATCTGGTCTGTCCAGTCGACGGCGCCGGAGACGCCGCAGCATTGAAGACGCGACTGAATTTCATCCCAGGCCTCCGTCACCGGCCTATCGTTGCCGTAGGATCTGATGGATCCGATCATGGTGTTCTTCATGGTGTTCTCAACTTTGGCACGGAAGACGTAACCAAGGATACCGCCAACCAGCATCGTGACGAAGATCAGGAAGACGGCGATGAAGTACTGTTTTTGTTTTTAATTAATTTTTGTTTTTTTAGGGTTGAGCTGAGTGTTTACCGTGACAAGCATGCATCGAACTTCTTTGGCTGAGCCGAAGCATCCGAAGCACGAGATGAGAGTGATGAGGATTCCGGTGGCGATGAGCACGTATACTGCTCCAGAGTATAGATTCGTGCCGAGGAGTTCGTTGGCGAAAGATTTGTCGATTACGGTCCAGATGCCCAGAGCGACCACTGTTATTCCTCCAAGCTAAAGAAAAATTGTTTAAAATTGAAGAAATGTTGTTCGAAAATATAGAAAAGTTGTATAAGATTGGAAGAAAAGTTATTGCATATTTGTTCAATATTTAAGTAAAGTTGAACAGAAGTTAGTAATTAATTGAAATTAGTACAGAATTGAAAAAAAGTAGTTCAAAATTCAAGTAAATCAAAATTTGTTCGATGTTATTCAAATTAATTTACAGAAGAAGAAAAGTTGATCATTGTTAGGAAATATTTAGTTGATTGAAAAAAAAAACAAAATTTAAGTAATGTATTTCAAAATTGTATAAAAATTGTTAATAATATATTCAAATTTGTTCTAAATTATTCAAATTTGAAAATAAAATGTTCACAGATGAAGAAAAGTTGACTCAAGTTAAAGAAAAGTTGGTCACAGTTAAAAAATATAGTTATTAAAAAAAATGTTCAATTTAAGAAACGTATTTTAAAATTGAACATTTTTTTTTAATAATGAATCAAAATGTGTTCAAACTTTGACAAATTTGAAAAACAATACTCACAGATGAAGAATAGAAGTTTAAATTTGAAGAAAAAAGTTTAATGTTGAAGAAAAGTTTGTGAAGAAATATTGAAAATTGAAGAAAAATATTTCAAACATTTACAAAACTTACGAATATTATGAGGTTGATGATGAAACTATAGAAAGGTTGTATAACATTGGGAGAAAAGTTGAAGAAATGATGTAGAAAAGTTGTACATAGTTGACGAAAAGTTATTCCATTGTTGTTCAATATTTAATCAAAGTTGAACAGAATTGAAAAAAAGTAGTTCAAAATTCAAGTAAATCAAAATTTGTTCAATGTTATTGAAATTAATTTACAGAAGAAGAAAAGTTGACCCAAGTTAAAGAAAAGTTGATCATTGTTAGGAAATATTTAGTTAAAGTAATGTATTTCAAAATTGTATAAAAATGGTTAATAATATATTAAAATTTGTTCTAAATTATTCAAATTTGAAAATTAAATGTTCACAGATGAAGAAAAGTTGACTCAAGTTAAAGAAAAGTTGGTCAAAGTTAAAGGAAAGTTGGTCACAGTCACAAAAATATAGTCATTAAAAAAAATGAAAATTTAAGAAACGTATTTTAAAATTGAACAGTTTTTTTAATAATGAATCAAAATGTGTTCAAACTTCGTCAAATTTTAAAAACAATACTCACAGACGAAGAATAAAAGTTTAAATTTGAAGCAAAAAGTTCAATGTTGAAGAAAAGTTTGTGAAGAAATATTGAAAATTGAAGAAAACAATTTCAAACATTTTACAAAACTTACGAATATTATGAAGTTGATGATGAACATGCTGTACTTCATGAAGTTGCCGCAGCCATCCATGTGTCGGCCGTACGCCATCGTGGAAACCTTCCAATTGAAACGATCTGCAAAAACCATTAGATTTTATTCAATCTCTTGAACTTCAACACTTTGTAGCAATCACAAATTTGATTTAATTTCTCTTCTATTCTTAATTATACTTATATTGACACTTTGTATTTAAGTCAACTAAATTACAATATCTTTAAGCATCAATCTACACTTCTTAACTTAATTATTAAAAAAATTTAAGAGATTTTCATTGTAAAAAAATACAAATATATTTTAATAAATTCAAACTAACTAATTGAATAAAATTTAATACTTAATACCTAAATTAATACATTTCCTAAATTACACAAATAAAATCGAAACAAATTTAACACAAATTTTTAATAGAAGCAAAATCATTTTAAAAAAATCATAATTCTTTTATAATTACGAACATAAATTGCAATAGGATACGACTTTGAGGTCATCATTGAATGAATAATTTTCATTTCAAGGATTCCAAACGTGTAAATTAGTTCTCGTTGTTTCCTTTTTATCTCCTTACAAAAAACACATCGAATTGTAATAAGTAAAGTCGTTTCTTCTGTACGTATTTAAGATGTTTTCGTATAAAAAGCAACACGCAGTAGTAATTCGGTGTAAATTTCTCGATAAATGCACAACAATGCGGTGATGATTCGTCGTTCAATGTCGAATTTCGTAACGAAGAATAATAGAAAACGTAACACGGTTTATTTTTTTACTCATCGTCTGTTACAGATTAAGCAATTAACGTTTCGCTGTGCGTCGCATATCTGATTGTATTGTAATTTGTTGAGTAATTGCATAGATTTTAATCGGAATTCAATGAAATTTTAAATGGTTTAAAGAGGAATGGTTTTTTTTTCGGTAAGTGTTAACGACAAATGTTCTTAATTGACCTCAATAAATGCTCTGAATATACACTTTAATGTTTGTGAAAGAAATTAGTTTGTAAACTTGTAAGTTTAATTCTGAGATGATTTTTTTTTATAACCAAAGTTTTTTGTTACCTCTCAAGTTACAAAGAAAAAAACTAATAAACTCATGTTGTTTTTAAGTGAAATTATATTAATTAACAATTAGTTATAAAAAATAAATACAAATTATGAATTTGCAATAATTTATTAGAATTTCGATGAAATTCTTAAGAGTGCTTTGATTTAGATCTTTTTTTTGATAAATGTTAATGAAAAATGTTTATAATTGACTTCAATCAATACTAAAAATGTACAGTTTGATGTTTATGAAAGAAATTAGTTTGTAAACTTATAAGTTTATGAGAAAATTTGATGAATCTTGAGATGATTTTTACAAATTTAAATATTTTTTAACTTAAAAAAACTAAGAAATTCATGTAGTTTTTTAGAGAAATTATATTATAAAATTAAATATTCTATATTAATTAATAATTAGTTAGAAAAAACATATAAAAATTTGGAGTTTGCAAAAAATGTATGGATTTTCAATAATTTTTTCTCAATAATTTAAAGAGCAAATTTTGTTCTATTTTTCTTTTCGGTAAGTGTAAATGAAAAGCGTTCTCAATTGACCTCAATAAGTCCTCTAAATATACAGTTTAATGTGTGTGAAAGAAATTAGTATCAGTGACTTTGTTGAATTAACTTTAATAGTTAAGTTAACCAAGAGATGTAAATACTGAAGAAGGAAATACCATTGAAGTACAAATTTGCATAAAATCATAACAAAAAATGATTAAAATCGGCTTTAAATCATCGAAAAGAAGCAAATGCAGTGCACAATTAACTATTAGATTATAAAATAACAAAAGTGTTAAAATTGAAGCTACAAATCGAAGCGAATTGTTATTTCTGCATGATGACTAACATGTTTACAAGCGCGATTCCAGATTTCATTTGCATTACGTGCGTTCTCTCTCCTCTATATTATTAATTTATTCTTGAACTGCAGCATTATTTTTTATTTCTCTTTATAAAATTCAATTTCACTTTCGCGTGTTCCACTTTTATCGTGCGTCCTTGTTCGAAAAACGGAGCAAGTACGAAATTGTTGTTTGTAAATCACAGAGAGAAGAAACATTGCGAAGCTGTTGAAAGATATTTGTTGTTTGCTTTTAATTTTTACCTGATGTGCGGAATAATCCTCTCAAGGAAATGAATTTATTGAAAATATATAGGGAGTAGCACAGGAAAAACAAGCACTGATCGGTGCACACTCGATTCCACTCTCACATTTGTGCACCTGAAACGAAAATTTCTTGTTTTGTTCCACTTCGGTTTCTACCTTGAGGCTCGCTTGTTGGCTTCCCCACCTTTTTTTTCTTTTCGCGAAACGAACGCGTGTGTTCGTTCTTCGCTTTCGGTAGGAAGGAGAGAAAGAGTGCTGTGCACACGACGAGTTAAGAGATTTACCTTTTTCTTCCTCACCTCATCAACTGCAAGTAACATTTAACCGTCTATAACTACTGCGCAATTATGTAAACATGCAATTACTACTTCTTAATTTCCTTATTTCGTATTACTTTATTTATATAAGACATTTTTTTTTCACATAATTAATTGTTAGAACAGGATATTTAATGAAAACTTAATGTTAACAGTAAAATAATTCTTAATAATGTTGAAAATTGAAAAGAAATAATGAGAAAATTTTTAAAATTTAACAAATTGTCTAATTTTAAAGATCAAGAGGGTTTTAAAAAATTCTGATATTCTTAAAAATCAAGATATTATGTTTATTAAACATATTTATTTACTCAGAATTTGTTAATGTTTTAGTTATAAAATCATGTTTATTTGGCAAAGTTTATCAATATTTGAATTTGTAAATTATTTGCAAATAAAAGTTTTAATGATTTAAAGATCTTTTTTGATGCTTTCTTTTATGTTGAATGAAGCAACGAAATTTGTTTGAAATTATACTAATTTATTGTATTTTTTTGTTGTTAATTTATTAATCTGTAATTAGTGTAGAAATAAGTTTCTATATTAATTAATAATTAGTCATAAAAAGTAAAAACAAATTGTGAATTTGAAAAAAAAAATATTGAATTTTGGTGCTGTTACAATGCTTAGATTTGCATCATTTTTTTCGATAAATGCTTATGAAGAATGTTTATAATTGACTTCAATCAATACTAAAAATATACATTTTGATGTTAATGAAAGAAATTTGTTTGTAAACTATATAAGTTTATGAGAAAATTTGATGAATCTTGAGATGATTTTTACAAATTTGTTTGAAATTGTACTAATTTATTGTATTTTTTTGTTGTTAATTTATTAATCTGTAATTAGTGTAGAAATAAGTTTCTATATTAATTAATAATTAGTCATAAAAAGTAAATACAAATTATGAATTTGAAAAAAAAAATATTGAATTTTGGTGCTGTTACAATGCTTAGATTTACATCATTTTTTTCGATAAATGTTTATGAAGAATGTTTATAATTGACTTCAATCAATTCTAAAAATATACATTTTGATGTTTATGAAAGAAATTTGTTTGTAAACTTATAAGTTTATGAGAAAATTTGATGAATCTTGAGATGATTTTTACAAATTTGTTTGAAATTGTACTAATTTATTGTATTTTTTTGTTGTTAATTTATTAATCTGTAATTAGTGTGGAAATAAGTTGTTGGTTTTTTTGATAATTAATACAGAAAAGTTAACTATTAAAATTTGAATGTGTTTTAGATGTTTCTCAAGAGATGTCGCTGTAATTATTAATATACTAATATTGTAAATACAGTTGTTATATTGTGAATAATGTTTATATAATATTGTTTTATTGTTGGTAGAAGTGGAGTTGTTGAAGATATAAAGTAATATTGTGTGTTTGTTGATAATGTAGGAAACTGTTGGATGTTGGAAACGACGTTACTCGACAAAAATCCGTTTGACAGTTTGTAAAGTGCAAGTATTGTTTTCGTTTCGATAATTCCACACTCATCGTGCAAAATCAGTGAGAATGGTCGTGGAAATCGCCGACGTGGAGATGAAGAGCGCGGACAGTCCACCGGGTGTGGACGCCGGTGATGGTAAAAGGGACACCGATATGCAGAGTATCGTGGAAATCCGTGAACACGCCAGGCAAATCGAGAAGGCCGTAACTAACAAAGAGAACCGATTCATCCTGAGAGTCCTCAGGGGTCTTCCGAACACCAGGAGGAAGTTGAACGGTGTGGTGCTGAGGAGCCTCATCAGCCAGATCTATCCGGTCGCTGAGAGGGATGCTCTCCTTTGCTACGTTGAGGAAGCTGCCAGCAGCTCGGACACAGAGCAGACAACGAGGGGCAGGTCAGCTGTAAAAACTCCTGTCCCAGAGGTGGACGCTTACTTGCATCTCCTCATCCTCGTCCGCCTGATTGATATCAACAAGCACGAAGACGCCATCAGATGCTCTCAAGGTTTGATGAACAAGATCAGCAGTCAGAACCGCAGGACATTGGATTTGATAGCAGCGAAATGCTATTTCTACCATTCGAGAGTTGCTGAGCTCAGCGATAAGCTGGACACGATCAGATCGTTTTTGCATGCGCGTCTCCGCACTGCTACATTGAGGAACGATTTCGAGGGACAGGCGGTACTTATTAACTGCTTGCTGCGTAATTACTTGCATTACTCCCTGTACGATCAATCCGATAAATTGGTTAGTAAATGCGTTTTCCCGGAGACGGCGAGCAACAACGAGTGGGCCAGATTCCTGTACTATTTGGGTAGGATAAAGGCGGCGCGTTTGGAGTACAGCGTGGCGCACAAGCACCTGGTGCAGGCCATGAGGAAGGCTCCGCAGAACGCCGCCGTCGGCTTCCGGCAGACCGTGCAGAAATTCTTGATCGTCGTCGAGCTGCTGCTTGGTGACATCCCTGAGAGACAGATCTTCAGGCAGGCCAGTATGAGGAGGTCTTTGGGCCCCTACTTCCAATTGACCCAAGCCGTACGCATGGGTAATCTTCAACGATTCGGCGAAGTCCTGGAGAACTTCAGCCCCCAGTTCAGGCAAGATCACACTTTCACTCTGATCCTGCGTCTGAGACACAACGTGATCAAAACGGCGATCAGATCGATCGGGTTGTCTTACTCGAGGATATCGCCGCAGGACATCGCCAAGAAGTTGGGTTTGGATTCTGCCGAAGACGCCGAGTTCATCGTGGCCAAAGCGATCCGCGACGGCGTCATCGAGGCTACTTTGGATCCGCAGGGTGGATTCATGAGGAGCAAGGAGAGCACCGACATCTATTGCACGAAGGAACCGCAATCCGCTTTCCATCAGCGCATCTCCTTCTGCTTGGATCTGCACAATCAGAGCGTGAAAGCTATGAGATATCCGCCGAAAGCGTACGGCAAGGAGCTGGAGTCTGCGGAGGAACGACGCGAAAGAGAGCAGCAGGACCTGGAGTTGGCCAAGGAGATGGCTGAGGAGGATGACGACGGTTTCCCTTAAATCGGAGGAATCCGCAACGTTCATATAATCGCGTTATTTATATAAGTGGAGTGAAAATATATGATATCTAATAATTATACTATTTAGTTCTCGTTTCGTCACTGAATAAAACAACTAATTCTGTTTTTATTTTTTGTAATCCCATCCTCAGATTGGAATAAAACTTTATTTAAATTTTTATTTACTAATTTTCCAATATGTAAACCTCTACAAATCTTACACTCATCAATAAATATTAACTTTTTGCATAAATAAAAGTTTTAAATAAAAATACAGTATTATGCAACCATATTAACATAAATTTAACAAGAAACAATTTCAATATTTTCAACCAATACTTTCTAAATGATCTAAACATTTATTTATTGTCATGAGTTTAATATTTTAGTAGAATTTTCAAATTAATATCTTCATTTATTTTGTAATAAAATTGGCATCAATTTCAAAATGCAATTTCGCAGTTCTGCAAACATCTTAAATATAAAACGAGAAGTAAACAAGAGGGAAACATTTGAATCTTCTTGGTTAACATCGATTTTACGGGTAAGTTGTTGTTATTAACGTAAACAAAGCATTTTTTATTTAAAATTTGTGAATTGTTTTAATATTCTTTGTTTATTGTTTTGTCCATGTTAATTCCAATAGGATTTGTTATGTATATTGTTTTTTGTGATAAATTTCTTTAACAGTAACATGAATGATAGCCAAAATCCAGATGAAGATCCTCTTGGCCACAGATATCCATCTGGGGTACAATGAGAATATTAACTTTTTGTATAAATAAAAGTTTTAAATATAAATACAGTATTATGCAACCAGATTAACATAAATTCAGCATGAAACAATTTCAATATTTTCATCCGGTTAATGTGAACCAATATTTTCTAAATTATCTAAACATTTATTTATTGTCGTGAGTTTAATATTTTAGTAGAATTTTCAAATTAATATCTTCATTTATTCTGTAATAAAATTGGCATCAATTTCAAAATGCAATTTCGCAGTCATGCAAACATCTTAAACATAAAACAAGAAGTAAACAAGAGAGGGAATCATTTGAATCTTCTTGGTTAACATCGATTTTACTGGTAAGTTGTTGTTATTAACGTAAACAAAGCAGTTTTATTTAAAATTTGTGAATTGTTTTAATATTCTTTGTTTATTGTTTTGTCCATGTTAATTCCAATAGGATTTGTTATGTATATTGTTTTTTCTGATAAATTTCCTTAGCAGTAACATGAATGATAGCCAAAATCCAGATGAACACACTTTGAAGATCCTCTTGGCCACAGATATGCATCTGGGGTACAATGAGAATATTAACTTTTTGTATAAATAAAAGTTTTAAATATAAATACAGTATTATGCAACCATATTAACATAAATTTAACAAGAAACAATTTCAATATTTTCAACCAATACTTTCTAAATGATCTAAACATTTATTTATTGTCATGAGTTTAATATTTTAGTAGATTTTTGAAATTAATATCTTCATTTATTCTGTAATAAAATTGGCATCAATTTCAAAATGCAATTTCGCAGTCCTGCAAACATCTTAAAATTAAACGAGAAGTAAACAAGAGGGAATCATTTGAATCTTCTTGGTTAACATCGATTTTACTGGTAAGTTATTGTTATTAACGTAAACAAAGCATTTTTATTTAAAATTTGTGAATTGTTTTGACTATTTCTTTGAAAACAATGTATTCTTTGTTTATTGTTAATTAGGTGTTGATTCCAATAGGATTTGGTATCTAAATTGTATAAGAATTATAGTTTTTTCTGATAAATTTCTTTAGCAGTAACATGAGTGATAGCCAAAATCCAGATGAGGACACTTTGAAGATCCTCTTGGCCACAGACATCCATCTGGGGTACAACGAGAAGCATCCAGTTCGAGGTAACAATTCGCCTGTTCTTAATTTGCTTATATAAAAACTATTGATTTTTGTAGAGGATGATAGCTTCGTTGCTTTCGAGGAAATCCTGAAACATGCAGTCGAACAAGAAGTAGATATTGTTCTGTTAGGTGGTGATCTTTTCCATGATTCTAAACCTTCCACCACTGCCATTGTTAGATGCTCAGAGATAATTAGAAGGTGAGCTTGTCATGATCATTTCAATTTGATAAACAATTTGTTATTTAGATATTGTTTTGGCGATAAACCGGTGGGCATAGAGTTCCTATCGGATCAGTCGTACATCTTCAAGAATCTGAGGAATCCGATCGTGAATTACGAAGATCCGAACATCAACGTATCCATACCGATCTTTTCGATCCACGGAAACCACGATGATCCGACCGGTAGCAAAGCCACATCGGTGATGGACATCTTCTCCAGCAACGGCTTGATCAACTACTTCGGATACTGGACGGATTTGAAGCAAGTCCAAGTCGCTCCGATTTTGCTAACGAAAGGGGAAACCAATCTCGCGTTGTACGGATTATCACACATACACGACCAGCGTTTATCCAGACTCTTCAGGGATGGAAAAGTAGGTAAAGTGATAACTTTTATTGCTTTTGGTATTCACGGTTTTCTGTTGCAGGTTTCGTTGTTAAGGCCGCAGGAAGAAGACGTTTTCCACTTGTTCGTGCTGCATCAGAACAGGGCGTTCCGAGGTGCTAATAACTACATTCCCGAAACATCTATACCGGATTTCATTGATTTAGCGGTTTGGGGACACGAACACGATTGCAGGATCATGCCCGAAGAGCAATTGAATGGAGTTTACATAACGCAGCCTGGTATAGGAATTTGTGAAATCGCTATTGAAGCAAGAAGTAATTCGCTTGTATTTGGGTAGGAAGCTCAGTGGCTACATCGTTGAGTGAAGGCGAATCCAAGAAGAAACACGTGGGTCTTTTGAAGGTGAAGAAGCGCGCCTTTGAGTTGACACCGATTCCGTTGAAGAGCGTCCGTCCGTTCGTCTTTGAAACTGTCAGGTTGGAGGAACTCTCCGATCTTCAAGAGAAGGGTATCATCAAGTACAGCGAGCACACGGAGCGCGTCGTCTCCGATAAAATCGATTCCATCATCGAGAGGATCAAGAACGAAAGAAAAGGTTTTTCTTTAACTGTAATCTAAAGGAATTAGATTAGATATTCGTGATTGCTTTCAGCGCAAAAGCTGAAGGAGATGCTTCCTTTGATTCGGATCGTTCTTCTGTACCACGACGAGCAGCAACAGATCAACGCCATCAGGTTCAGCCAGAGCTACGTGGACCTGGTGGCAAATCCCGAGGATATGATCCTGCAGAAACCCATCATCAAGACGGACGGCACCAAAAGGAATAGGTATCTAACAGGAGATGATACAACATACGAAGTGGAAACGGTACAATTCACAAAACGTGTTGGATGTTGTTACAACGTGAATTAATCAATTGTAGGAAGCTGATAGGACGGAGATGCTCAATTCTTTAGTAAACAAAGAGTTGGAGAAGGATTCCAACAAGAAGCTGAAGATCCTATCTGTAGTTGCCATGGGAGAAGCCATCGCCAGGGTCATCAACAACGATGATGCGGATGCAATCGCAGATATCATTGAGTAAGATTCATAAAAACTCTATTTTAAAATATTTATGTTGGATTTTGTAGTTTCCAAATGAAAGCTGCGCAGGAAAAGTTGTCCAGTCTCGGAATGGATGAGAATAACTTTGTCGAATTGCTCGAGCAGCTCAATCAACAAAGAATGGAGGAGGCTGCAAACGAAAAAGCTGAAGTAAATTTCAATGCTTTGATTGGAATCGTTGTAACTTTCACGATGATTTTAGGTCGATAAATTGTTGAGTAATCCGAAGAGATCGTACAACAAAGCCGTAATCGATGATGAGGACGATGATGTTGACGATATTCCTGCTGTTAATACTAGTACAAGTGTTAGCCCTCAGAAACCGGCTAGAGGTCGTGGGAGTCGAGGTCCACGAGGAAGTCGTGGTCCTAGAGGTCCGCGCGGTTCCAGAGCAAAGAAAACGTGATCATTCGTTGATATTAATACTGATTCCACATCTACTTAATTTTTAAATAGGCTAAGAATATGAGATTTCTTTTAAAATGTTTGTCAACTAGTTGTTTATAAGTTTAAACATGTAAATTGTTTTGTTTGAAATAAACTTTTATATACTTCTTTAACTTTAAAATAAGAAACTAACATAAATTGCTTATTTTAGTAGTGAACTTTAGAAAATGTTTAAAATTAAAAAAATTTGGATGATAGGCAACACAATTAACTTATAAGCTTCTAACAAAAACCTATACTTAGTATTTTAATAATAATAATTATGTTAATTTTCATTAATCTTTTAGTAAAATATATTTTGTAGATGAAATTTGCCTTAGATTTTTGCTAAACTTGTATCTGCAGATAATAAATAACTAAGTAAAATGCTTTTAAACTTTGAACTAAAAATTTATATCTAGTTTTTAAATTTTTTAAATTGTTTTAGTTAATTCTTGTTACAAAATACTGTAAATTATAGATGGATTCTAACGAATTTTAACATAAGGAAAGTTGTATCAAATAATTTCACAAATTACACATATTTTTTGGTATATTTATTTATTTATTTAAATAAAGATCATATCGTTTAAATGAGAAAACGAAAAGAACATATGGTTTTACAGATGAACAATGGAAAATTAAAATTAAAAAAATTTGGATGATAGGCAACACAATTAACTTGTAAGCTTCTAACAAAAACCTATACTTAGTATTTTAATAATAATAATTACGTTAATTTTCATTAAATATGCAAAATCTTTTAGTAAAATATATTTTGTAGATGAAATTTGCCTTAGATTTTTGCTAAACTTGTATCTGCAGATAATAAGTAACTAAGTAAAATGCTTTTAAACTTTGAACTAAAATTTATATCTAGTTTTAGTTAATTCTTGTTACAAAATACTATAAAATATAGATGGATTCTTACGAATTTTAACATAAGGAAAGTTGTATCAAATAAATTCACAAATTACACATTTTTTTTTTGGTATATTTATTTATTTATTTATTTAAATAAAGATCATATCGTTTAAATGAGAAAACGAAAAGAACATATGGTTTTACAAATGAACAATGGAAAAAATCTACAATATCGCAAATACAATAATAATATCATCAAATCGTTACATATACAAATGAGTGAATTCAAACTGAAAATAAAAATGAAAATATTACGACAAACAAATCAGAGAGAAAGAATCTAATGAACATAGAAAGATAGATACATACATAACAATATTATATTTTTATAATAAATATTGAGAGAAGGGGCGCATCATCATCGTTTACAATTGTATAATTATATTTATAATATATATATATATTATTTTATATTATAGGATCGTGATTTATTTTATTTTTTTTTTGGAGGGGAGGTAAAAAAGGGGTGAAAAAAAAACATACATGAAACTTATACAACTAAACGCAGAAAAAATATATAAATCGGCGAAAAATAAAAAACTAGATTACACTCGAATTTGGAAATACGCTTAAAACTTATCCGAAGGAAGGAGATTATACAACGATAGATATAATTCATTCATTAGTGCTCATAGCAATCGTCTCATCCAAGAGAGAGTAAAAAAGATTTCATCGTTAATCTTTGTTGAATTGAGGAAAGAAAGAAATAGTAAGAAAGAAAACACGGACGAATTGTAAAAAAAACAAACAATAATTATAAGAAACGAAACGACACGAAGTGCAAAAACACATTTATATATATATATTTATTTATTCATTCATTTATTTCGCCTATCAATTATACAATATTATCTTTTTTTTCTTTAATTAAATACGTTCATTACTCTTATTACCAGTGTGTATATTTCTCTTGTTTTTTTTTTCGTCTTCATCATTTATATATATATATATATATTCTTTTACGTGTGTGTGTGTGTATGTTTTTTTTTGTTTCATGTGTGTGTGTGAGTGAGTGAGTGAGTGAGCTTCTTATTACGTTTTTTTTTTGTTAAATTAGTTTACACATGCGAACAGAAGTGATTCCTCAAAAAGTTTAAGTTTACTTCGTCCTTCGCTTTAAGTTTATTAGGAGAAATTGGCACGAACTCTCTTCTTCCCTTCCTTCCTTTCTCTCTTTCATTCATACACTTTCATCATCTTTCGCTCATTCAGTTCATTCGTATCGAAGCACATCCCATCTCCGCTTCATTTAAACTATATTTACATAATCGACTACAAAACAAATCAGACAAAAAACCTATATCGAAGTGAGCCTATATTCTCTTCGAAGTTGTTTTTGTTTTCTTTGGTTTTTCGCATCCTCGAAGATTAAAGAATAATAGTATAATTAATACGCGCGTTAATCGTTAAGTAATTGGATTAATTATGGCAACTTTACTTTTTGCAGAAATTACGCGCTGTGCTTTATCGAAATTTAAAAGAAAACAAAAAAACGTGAATAATGTGTGTGTGTTTGAGGCTATATACAATAAATAAACTTGCAACTTCAACATCGTCATACACACACATCTTACATCGCACTACAGACTTAGTTTTCCTTTCTTCCTCGTCTTAATCAATCTTACCACATTATTAATATATATTATATATTTATATCTTTCTCCTTACTTAAATTTAAATATACATATATACTTCTCGAACGTATTTCTTTTAATATAGTTCCCACATTCGCGCCACCGTGCATGCAGAGTATACACGCTTTCATTACGTAAATTTAAGTTAGTTAGTGTTTATTTTCCTTATGTTTTTTTGAAGAAGATGAACTAAATCTACGCTAGTCCTCTTCGCAATTCGACTACGAGCTAACAAAATATACATAAAATATGTTACTCTCCTGTTGTTTTACTATTATTCATTTTGCGAATCAAGAGAGAGAAAAGTTTCCCAAAGATCTGCTCCTGTCGGAGGAGGAGACGCGAGATCTCTCGATCCTGAATCCAATTAACATACGGCAACATTACAGACACGCAGCAGCACGCCAGTCGCGCGCGCACCTTCTTAACAAACGGGGTAATGATGGATGGAGAAGGGTGGTTGTTGTTGTTGTCGTCTTTTTAAATCGATCGATGAGAATTAACAATAACAAACCCCATATGAAACTTGTAGAGAGCGTCACGTGTATAAAAAGATTTAAGTAATGGCAGTGGACTTATTATAAAAAGAGAGAGAGTGAGTGACACACAACAATAGTTCAAGAGAGTCGGAAAGAAACCGGCGGCGATGCGATGCGATGCGATTCGACGCGCTGCTGTCTGCATATATTTTATATAATATAATTTTCTACATACATATTTTGTTTAATTCCTCACTTAAAACCATATCCGCATCCAATCCTCGTGATCCTCCTTCTTCATCGTCGTCGTCGTCGTCTTCTTAAAAAACAGTCTTATGGGACACGTGTGCGCTTCGGACACGTGGAAAAAATCGAAAAGCAAAAGATTCCTCAAACTTAAAATCCAAATCCTCTTCATAATCCTACGCAATGCACTCGTCGTCTTCTTGCATCCTCTAGCGCTCATCTTCCATCATCATCATCATAACCTTAATAACTAATATTTATATATTTATAATGTAGACTTAGTTAATAATAATTTTTGGTTTTCGAATGGATCAAACCCGACTATTTAAGTTTATTATGCATCCTCTCCTGTTTGTTTGCTTGTTTATTTATTTATTGTTGTTTTGTTGATCTTCTATGTGTTTGTTTGTTTGTCTGTTTGTTCGATGTTGATGGTCGAGTCTGATCCTTCCTCTCTCTCTCTCTCTCTCTTTCTTTCTTTATGGTAATCCTATTATTCCTCCTGCTCAGTCTCTTCGCCGGGGCCGTACATATCCGCAAGTTTGTCGAAGCGCGGACCCCAAGCGCCCAAGTAGTCGTACTCCTGCTGTTCCTCATCCGAACCTTTGAAATCAAAAGCAGGAAAATCACAATTAATACACCGTCTGATGACTGTCTCTCATAGTATTATTAACTCATCTCCACAAAACTATTCAAAAATCATATATAAAAATCGAAGATTTTAGAAGTGAAAATTTCGTAATAAATCTAAACAATAAATTTCATTAAAAAGGCGCGTTGGAAAGCTTAGACTTTCATCTTTATATGAGTCCAAAATATACTTTGAACTAGAATTACTAGAATGACTAGAAAGCTGTAAAAGAACACGTTGGAAAGCTCGGAATTTTATCTTGAAAACGAGTCTAATTTGTACTTTATGCCCTTTTGTCCGACCGAAGGATTGAACGATTTAAATGTATAGATTTCACTTGGATTTTTACTATCAAGATACTTACTACCAGACGCGAGGGAACTCAACGATCCAGCCGTGCTGCCGCCTCCTTCGTACGCGTAGTTCCTGAGATCATCGAACGGCGGAGCGTTCGGATCGCTGTCCGCTCGCTTCTTGTGCTCATCGATGAAGATGCCCACGTTCGGCTCCTGTCCAGGTGCCATTGCCATTATGTTAACTGCAAGAAAATCATACAAAAATATAAACCACTTGAAATCTATCTAACGAATCGACAAGAGCTGAGCAAGGTTTTCCCTGTTCGACTTTTTTTCTTTTAAATTGCACCCGCATAGCCTCCGGTAATTTATTGGATTCGCAAGCAAAAGATGCTGATGATGTCTTCTGTTCCGGTTTATTTTGCCACCCTTCGCGCAGTTTAATATTAATTTATAGGTGGCTTTGCAAAAAAAAAGAAATGCGAGAATTTATACGTGGAGAAACGTAAGAAATTTGAAGCGTGGAAATAAATAATTTTCGTGGCTCGGGAATTTTCCATCCGGTAAAAAAAAAAGAGGGGATGGGGGTGGAAAGAAGATCAAGCCAGCGATCCTAAAACCTAGATTACGCACGGATCCGGCCACCCCTTTTTTTTTTTTTTTCATCCCGCAACGAAATCAATTCCCTTCATCCTGGCGACCTATCCAATCCCAAAGGGCGGAAGACGACATCCACATATATATATATATTTAAAAGAGAAAAAAGTATCGTATATCATCATTCATGAGCCGAATGGAGAAGACTTCTTATTACGGTTTCAAATTTCGCGCGAAAAGATTTGCCCATTTCCTTCCAATTGTCCATCACTAATGGAAATATGCATATATATATATAGACATTATATTTATGCTGGAGAAAATGGGGAGCGAAGAAAAGGGCAAGGATTTCCTTTCTCTGCGGTCTTCTAAAATGGGATGAAAACAAGGAAAACCCATCAATTTTTAAGTAAGATAAACACATCCAATTTCATTGCAACTCCTAAATTACTATAACAAGATTTACCTTCAAGATTACTTAATTTTAACCACGATTATATAAATCCAACTGAGATGTAGTTTATAGATGTAGATCAAGTATACCAGCTACAAACATTGTTATGGATACTTTTGTCTCGGTCAATAATCCGATGTATTCGAAGAGGAAAAACGAGACGCGTATGGAAATATGTAAATTTTAGTACTCACACGACATCTTAGGTGGCGCCAGCTCTGGAAGAGGCCCGCCAATCGGGATCTGCAACGGGGTTATATCGAATGCGGTCATATCATCTTCGCCGCCTCCTTCGTCATCGTAATTGATGATGTTCTCGCGGACGTCATCGTCCGGTCCGGGATACTTGATGTGCGCCTCCCGACGTCTGTTGTACACCACGAAGACGAGCACCAAAACTAAACGAAAAAAAATAAGTAAAAAATTAGCAATAATCCTATTATTTTTGCATAACTAAAAGGACAAAATAATCAATAATGGAGAGACATTTTCCAAGAGCTAACGTGTGGGTAAAAAAGAGCACTAATTGTACGCTAAAAATGCATGCGAATTAAGACGTAGATAATGATAGAAACAGAGAAAATTGGAAGATACGGAATTTCTCAAAAATTAGTTTTAATTGAAAAATTTTGATGTGAAAAAATGTAATTTCTGACATTTCCTTCAACAAATTTTTAAGTTTCTTTTCAATTTATAATAATAGAGTAAGTCAAGCAATGTTTAGTAGAAAGTTGAAAAAAATTGGAAGATGCGGAATTTCTCTAAAAATAGTTTTAACTGAAAAATTTTGATGTGAAAAAATGTAATTTCTGACATTTCCTTCAACGAATTTTGAAGTTTTCTTTCAATTTATAATAATAGAGTAAGTCAAGAAACGTAGAATATTGAATAACATTGGAAAAATACGGAATTTCTCAAAAAATTGTTTGAAATTCTCGATTGTATCTGTAAAAAAATGGCGATTTGAAATAATGTAATTTCTGAATTTTCAATAAGCAAAAATTTGAATTTCTTTTAAATTTATAATGATTAAATATTTGGTAAAAAATGAAGAAAATTAGAGAATTTTTTAAAAATTAGTTTTAACTAAAAAAATTTGATGTGAAAAAATGTAATTTCTGACATTTCCTTCAACGAATTTTGAAGTTTTCTTTCAATTTATAATAATAGAGTAAGTCAAGAAACGTAGAATATTCAATAACATTGGAAAAATATGGAATTTCTTAAATAATTGTTTGAAATTCTCGATTGTATCTGTAAAAATGTCGACTTGAAAAAATGTAATTTCTGAATTTTCAATAAGCAAAAATTTTAGTTTCTTTTAAATTTATTACAATGGAGTAATTGAAGAAATGTTTGGTAAAAAAATGAAGGAAATTAGAGAATTTTTCAAAAATTAGTTTTAATTGAAAAATTTTGATGTGAAAAAATTTAATTTCTGACATTTCCTTCAACAAATTTTTAAGTTTCTTTTCAATTTATAATAATAGAGTAAGAAAATTGAAAGATACGGAATTTCTCAAAAATTAGTTTTAACTGAAAAATTTTGTTGTGAAAAAAATGTAATTTCTAACATTTGCTTCAAATAATTTTTAAGTTTCTTTTCAATTTATAATACTGGAGTAGGTCAAGCAATGTTTAGTAGAAAGTTGAAGAAAATTGGAAGATACGGAATTTCTCAAAAATTAGTTTTTACTGAAAAATTTTGATGTGAAAAAAATGTAATTTCTGACATTTGCTTCAACAAATTTTTAAATTTCATTTCAATTTATAATACTATAGTAAATCAAGCAATGTTTAGTAGAAAGTTGAATAAAATTGGAAGATATGCATGCGAATTAAGACGTAGATATTGATAGAAACAGATTGTTAAAAATTTACATCTTCAATCAAATGAAAACTTCCGATTGATTAAACTCAGCGTTTCTATTCCGATAATTTACATCAAAACTGAACTGTAGCCATGGAAACTAACCGGGTTTTTGTTTTCTTGCTTCATTTGTTTCTATTGTTTGAGAGGCAATCATTATCAGTACGTTGCAGGCTTCGCGCTGATCCGATGGGCTGCAATCTCTTCGGATTAGATTAATTAGAATCGATGGGATTTATTTCATTAAGTGTGCGGGAATTAGTGGAGAAATGCGTCCAAGTATATAACAACAACACTATATAAGATAATTGATTGATTTTTGATTGCGTGTGCACACACAATGCGAAAACAAGAAACTTCCATCAAAATATCCAATTGCAATAACGGGAAACTTTCGGCAGTTTACTCTTCGCGAATTAATGCGATCCGTGCGCGTGTGTCTTTAATGCCGCCAGATGGCGACGGCGACTCATTACAAAACTATCTCCAAATCCGTTTCTGTTTATTTACGCTGAGAGCGGTTAGCAATTGCGATGCGAAACTTTGAACGTTATTTATATAAATAATCGATTTTCAAATATGAAATGTAACGTAATTTTGTAATATTTGTTTTAACAATTAGTAAATGATTTCAAAATGTGTACTTACAGATTTATGAAATTTTCAATTTATAATAATAGAGTAAGTCAAGAAACGTAGAATATTGAATAACATTGGAAAAATACGGAATTTCTCAAAAAATTGTTTGAAATTCTCGATTGTATCTGTAAAAAAAATGTCGATTTGAAATAATGTAATTTCTGAATTTTCAATAAGCAAAAATTTGAATTTCTTTTAAATTTATAATGATGGAGTAATTTTAAATTTATAATGATGGAGTAAATGTTTGGTAAAAAATGAAGAAAATTAGAGAATTTTTTAAAAAATAGTTTTAACTGAAAAATTTTGATGTGAAAAAATGTAATTTCTGACATTTCTTTCAACGAATTTTGAAGTTTCCTTTCAATTTATAATATTAGAGTAAGTCAAGAAACGTAGAATATTGAATAACATTGGAAAAATATGGAATTTCAGAAAAAAATGTTTGAAATTCTCGATTGTATCTGTAAAAAAATGTCGATTTGAAAAAATGTAATTTCTGAATTTTCAATAAGCAAACATTTGAGTTTTTTTTTTAAATTTATTATAATGGAGTAATTGAAGAAATGTTTGGTAAAAAAATGAAGGAAATTAGAGAATTTTTCAAAAATTAGTTTTTAACTGAAAAATTTTGATTTGAAAAATGTAATTTCTGATATTTCCTTCAACATATTTTTAAGTTTTTTTTATCAATTTATAATAATAGAGTAATTTCTGACATTTATTTCAACAAATTTTGAAGTTTCTTTTCAATTTATAATAATAGAGTAAGTCAAGCAATGTTTAGTAGAAAGTTGAAGAAAATTGGAAGATACGGAATATTTCAAAAATTAGCTTTAATTGAAAAATGTTGATGTGAAAAAATGTAATTTCTGACATTTCGTTCAACAAATTTTTAAGTTTCTTTTCAATTTATAATAATAGAGTAAGTCAAGCAATATTTAGTAGAAAGTTGAAGAAAATCGGAAGATACGGAATTTCTCAAAAATTAGTTTTATCTGAAAAATTTTGATGTGAAAAAATGTAATTTCTGACATTTCCTTCAAATAATTTTTTAAGTTTCCTTTCAATTTATAATAATAGAGTAATGCAAGAAACGTAGAATATTGAATAACATTGGAAAAATATGGAATTTCTGAAAAAATTGTTTGAAATTCTCGATTGTATCTGTAAAAAAAATATCGATTTGAAAAAAATGTAATTTCTGAATTTTCAATAAGCAAAATTTTGAGTTTCTTTTAAATTTATAATAATGGAGTAATTGAAGAAATCTTTGGTAAATAAATGAAGGAAATTAGAGAATTTCTCAAAAATTAGTTTTAACTGAAAAATTTTGATGTGAAAAAATGTAATTACTGACATTTCGTTCAATAAATTTTTAAGTTTCTTTTCAATTTATAATACTGGAGTAAGTCAAGCAATGTTTAGTAGAAAGTTGAAGAAAATTGGATGATGCGGAATTTCTCAAAAATTAGTTTGAAAGTGAAAATTGTAATGTTGTGTTTCCATATTGTTGATTTTAGCGCCATCTGGTTGTGTTAAGTTCCTATTAAAGTCATTTAAGTAATGAAGGATAAATTGAAGGAAGCTTTAAAGAAGAAACGAGGCAACAGAATCATCGAGCAATTAGGAGTAGCGATAATTAATCACCGGTTCGTATTAAAACTTAATCAACGGAAGTGAATAATATATAAACGGAGAGAGATGTAACTTTCGGCGTTTTTCTCTGTTCCTATCATCATCATTGTATATACAGTAGTAGTAAGCTGTGTGCGGAAGCAATTATTCTAATTTCCGCGCTTCGGTAGAGATCGCTCTGGGGAGGATAGAGAAAGAGAGCGTTTGGAGTCGACGACGACGACGAAGAGGTCGCCCCCAAAGGGTTTGCACTCTAATTATCCAAATGCGATGAGACGCCTGCGGTGGGAGCGACGCTTAACCGCCTCGAAACATCCTGATCATCATCATCATCCTCACGATGATCATCTCCGGAATGAAAGAGAATAACAAAAAAAAAAAAACTTACCGAGCAGCGTGAACAGACAAATGATGATGGCAATGATGAAGTCTTTGGACGGCATTATGGCACCGGCAGACAACAGCTCGAGTTCGCAGTGTCCTCCCGTGTATCCCAACGGACACACGCACTCGTACCTCAGCGGAGGTTCGTAATCCTTGCAGATTCCGCCGTTGATGCACGGCATCCACAAACATTCGTTCATATTGACGCAAGTGTTCTCGTGGAATTTGTAACCTTGCGGACACCTAAATACAATCGACAAGCACAAATTGAACAAACTTACCCTCTTCTTTGGTAAAATTTCAAAAAAACAACCCCCAAAAAACGGCACCTTCAAAGAAATTCCTATAATTTTATAATTATTTTTTTACTTTTCAAAGGATGTTTAAAGGAAATTGAAGGCAATTACCAGGAGTATAAATTTAAAAAAAAAAATGTAACTGTAAATCAACTCCATCAAAATTATTGGTGGTATTTCGGAAATCGCAAACAATCGGACTCGAAACTCAATTAAATGATGTCCAATGAAAAGCGTGAAAATTAAAAAAAAAACAACAACGGGATTCAATTGGAAATCGCGTAATTTTCAATCCAGCACTCCATGACGATGATGATGATGATGACATAAATGATGTTGACAAATGAAGTGAGCCGCAAATTTAATACAGTTTTGTGTTGTTCACGAAACACGCGTAGATTTTAGTATTTAATAGAATAAAACGATTTATCCTCATTTTGGTGAAAGCTGAAAGCATAATTATTACAATTTGTATACAATTAAAACGCGTAGTTATTGTAGTAAATCACTTGAAATTGGATCATTTCAATATTTTTCAAATTAAGTTTTGAGAAATTCCGTATTCTCTAAT